CTAGGATACTTTCGTCAACGGGAGGGCGCCCCAGAAAACTCAGACTCCAGGCCGGGAGATGCAATAAGCAAGAGGAGTTTATTTGATGTTTGTGCAAATGGACTCTCTGTCCCGAGCAGACAGGGAGCCCCGAGCAGCTGCTACAAGCCTTTTTAAAGGCAAAACCACAAGATTAATGCATAACACAAAGCATCCCATGATTGGTCCATTCAAAGGTCACCATATACACCAACAATCACTTTGCCACGCAGGAAATTGTGTAACACTCTTTGTAAAATGACTGGCCCCTGGTTGGTTTAAGAGGGGGTTACATGGTTACAGGCCCATGGTTGGTTGACACTTGGCTCAGCTTGTGGTCTTGCCAGGTGGTCGTTGTCAAGGTTTGTCCCAGGGATGGCTTAATTAATCTGGAACTGAAGAACATGTACTATCTATAACCGCTGTCCTTGTCCTGGGTGGGCTGATATCCGGACATCTGGGCCGGCCAATATCCTTGAGTCACTGCCCAATTTTATTTCCCGGGGAAAAGGGGGTCTGAGTGCAAGCATATTTACAGAAGCAAAATCAGCAGTTAGCAAATTAGTCATGGTAATGGTAAAGTGAGGTTTTTAATTTTTAACCCTTCATTCCCCACTTCTTCTCTGGACTAATTTTAATCTTAAAATTCAGGGTGTCTCTATATTATCTTGTGGGGTGTCAGTTGTTCTCAATGCTTGGTATTTGGATCTCAGAACTAATAGACAGACTGCGCTGATCTTTTTCTTTTACAAAAGACACCAGTCTGTTGAGTATACAAGGTCCGATTGTAACAAAAGTAACAGTACCAGAGCCCCTTACATTTTTTTTTACCAGTCCTGACTCTGTGTATTGCAGTTAACTTAATTTTATACCAGCTGTACTTGTAAGCTCCAATTTTAAGACATACTCATACCATTTGCGACATACTCATAAACTTTCTGAGGTTTGTCTTCTTTTTTTTAAACAATTAAAGACAATCCTTACTTTTCGTATCCTTTCTTATCCAAAGGGGACCTTTTTTTCCCAACTCCTTTCCAAGGCTTTCTTTACTACCTTTTTTTTTACAATCCCTTTCCCAAGGCTTTCTTTACCATCCCCTTTTTTTACAATCCCTTGAGCATCTTTGTGGCTGGAGTTTAAAACTGCCCAATTTTTTTTTTTTTTTTGCTTGTGGAACCTTTATCTTAGAACAGCCTTAAGGCACCACTGTGATGTAGAAGCTTGCTAGATTTTAAGGCTAAGAGTATTACCTCCATTGATGACACACTCAGGTTATTACCATACCAGAGCCAAACTAGGCTGTGACCATAGAGTGGATTTCCAGTCACTATGCACTGAAGTGCCTAAGACAAGCAAGCCAGTGATATCCTTGTCCCCAATACCCACTGTGGGAAGAGAGGGTTTCTGGATATCACCCAAAAGAATGTCCCACAAGATCTTAGATTTAGCAGCAGTCAACCAGGAAGCAGACTCAGGTGATGGGATCAGGTAGGAGTTCCTCCAGGTGGCTGTCAGGCCATCGTTGAACTTTACCCATTACGGTATGCAGCAGCAGCAGTAACCGCAGCAGCAGCAGCAACAGCAGGGTCTCTCAGTGGCTCGAAGGGACTGTCACACCTCATGCTGGGCTGTAAATTCCTACACCGACTGGTTAAAGATACATTGCATAGGCTTGACAGGCTTTGATCCTGCTGGTTTTTAAGATCTTTAAACAATAGCTCAGGACAATTAACCAAAATCACAACTTTTTACTAACCAGATATTTTTGTAAATAGACACAGGAGGCTCAGAAGGCTTAGTCTTGTAGCATCTCTGACAGACGCAGTCTCCACACCTTGCACACCGACAACTGTTAACACTATTCTTTATGCCTTTTTTTAAAAAAAATTATTTTATCTATTTTGTCGCATCTCTCCAAAACTGACTCTGGACCCTTGATCTTAAAATGGGGGTAGAAGGGCGAAGATCCATCTTCTGTAACTTCTTCAAGCTGACTTCAGGGGCGTTGATCTTACCTAGCCAGGAACCTATAACCTTACCCTATTTTACAAAGAGGCCATCAGGGTCAGATGTCATTAAGAACAATATTTAACTTTTGACAACTACACAGACCTTTTCTCCGGCTACAGCAGTGTAGCTTGTTTAGCACTCTGGTCTGTAAAAGCATCTTTCTAGATGGCTTAGGAATGTGATCTCTAATGATCCCAACAATGCCTAAGTTACCTTTGCAGGCCTTTAGACAGATATCAATAGAAACACACTCTCAGGTTTACAAACTTTTTTTCTGAGCAGATGAACTTTATGTAACTAGTGTCAGCTCAATAGTTACTGCCAACTAGAGCTTTTGGCACATAAAGGGGTTGAGATTTAAACTATCCCCCACATTTATAACATTAGCTTTTTACTATCACAGAGGACTGGCAAGTTCCTGTCCCTTACAAGGTAGATAGTCATGGACATTAGGCATGCTTACAAACTCTTTTTATGACCTCCCAGCTCTGACCTGTTTTGAAGGGCCACGCACAAATGACTCTAGGATCTGACATTTCTGCCATCCAAGCAGTGGCTTACTGCCTCTGGATGCTCCTCCATTGCTTTTGTCCCAGGAGTGTCTTCTCCACATTGGGATAAATGCCTCATTGGCATTTCCCTTTAGCTGGTCGCTGGACTTGAACTCGGGGCCTGAGCACTGTCCCTCAGCTCTACAGCTCAAGGCTAGCACTCTGCCACTTTGAGTCCCCAAAGCATCTCTGCTTGCTCTTTCAGCACTCTGCTGGCTGAATAGAGGTGACAGTCTCACAGGGACCTTTTTCTGTCCGGGCCGGCTTTGAACCAGTTTGCAGATCAGTGAGTCTTACAAAAGGCCACTTTACTCCAATTAAAAGCAACAAGGTGGTCAACACAGAAGTAGCTTTTAAGCATGCTCTTACTTGAAGCTTATTAAGAGCCAAAGTTACATCTGACAAACTTTTAAGAATCCTCTGTGCTTTGCTCTGGACTTTGTTAGAAACTTAAAAAAACCTATAAGAGCAAACTAGAATAGCAATTATTTTGGTAATCCTAATTTTTCCTTTGTGCACATTGAGGCCAATGTTAAGAACAATTTTACATTTAAACTTTATATCCAAAAAT